AACAAGGTTTTTATTTTGGAAAAAAAAATTCTTAGTTTCTTTTTTTTTTTTTTTTTTTTTTTTTCAGTTTTTGAGGCTTGAGGTCTTCTGAGGTTTCCGTAGTTCCACAATTGATATGCAACCATTTAGCATTGTTGCTGTGCAGTTGATTTTGCACAATGAATGCAGCTGCAAAGCCACAATGAGCAAAAGCAACAATTAGCTAGCTTCCAACTGAACAGCATGCACATTTGGTTTGCAGGATGTGTTGTATCTTTTTCCAGTGAACAAAGCCTTTCCCAGGCAATTTCTTGTGTGACAGAGACTATATTGGTTCTGTTTGTAATGGTAGGTAGTCTGATCTCTGTGCTATTGTTGTGGAGCAGAGCTACAGAGGGTGTAGCTAAAGCACAAACCTTTACATTTTGCAACATTGAAAGCAAAGAGCTCAGTTTATCAACCAACGGAACAGGCTTTTTTTCCCCCCCACACACAAAATACCCTCACAGGTATTTTTCCCCCACAAATACCTGTGAGGATAAAACGTCACCAGTTAAACCATCAGTGACTGCAGGATGAGCAGTGGTTAGGACCTAATTGGTTAGGATAACAAATTATAAAGCTATGCATGTTGCAGGTGGCATATTGTCACAGTTAAAGTAGCTTTCTTAACCTAGTTAAGGCCTTTAATATCCAAATGTTTTGTCACACAGGCAAATTTGCCCAGTTGAAAGTACCCATGGGTCACAAAAATGTTATTCCTTTCTCACTTAACATGCAAAACATTTGTCTAGTTTTTCATTTTTAACTGATCAAACATACATTAAACATGCAACATTGTAATAAGCAGAAAAAGGAATATTAAATCATTTTAAATCTCAATTATATAAAAAGAAATATTTCAAGCTTGCCTTATTTTAAAGACTTTTATTTGCTGCTCTATAAAAAAAAAAAAGCTTAGGCTAAGACCACCAACAAAAACAGTATGGAGGTCTTTCTTCAAAAAAGGCTTGTTTAAGAGCCAAGTTTAGTGAAAGGCTCATTCAAAACTATTTGGAGAAAAAAGCTGCAGGATGTTTGGAAGTTCTACTTTCTATGAAATTAAAATAAAGACAAAACATGTAATAAAACAAGCCGGCAGTTATTTCATAAGATTAAGCTGGTGGTCCAGATTTGTACCATGTTTTAATTGTGACTGGGGGACCCACAACATTATTCAATGGCGCTGATAAAAGCTGATGTTCAGAAACTACGGTTAGGACATTTGTAATGAGAATCAACAGAAACAAAATGTAGGAATCTAGGAATCTAAACATCACTTGCAAGACAGTAGAGTGCTGCACCATCACAATACAAATGTAAATCATAAATTCTGATCAAATGTAGCACCTTACAATTATTAAGTTTTCAAGCAAATCTATCAGGTTGACTTTAATTCACTTCAGTGTTGTGTCAGATTGGGACTCAGTACTGGCAAAGCCCAACATTGGGATTGGCATCGGTCCCTGAAAGGCCTGAACAGCAAATCCCTAGAACAAGGTAGCAAAAATACCTCTTATTCTTCAAAAGTGATTAATTATGTTTCTAAAATGAGTCGTCTTAATGTAAAACCTGAGAATGACTGAAAAGAGTAGGAACAAAAACTGAAAGGAGACCAGTTGGCAAATTACTACCGCAAACTGCATAACTGAGCAAAACCCTTCACAATAATAAAAGTACACACATTCCAGTCATTTTTTCTTTTCAGTTTTGATATGTGTAATTAAATCTGACAGAAATAACAGTTAACCTCTCATCCTAATTCATGCTGTTAAACTAGCTTATGAAACATTGTTTATTTTTCTGCGTAGAATCTAGCAACTGTCTGGCTCCGAGGGAAAACTTGGGGGCACCTCGAAACCAGAGCCAAACTCTCACGCTCGCAATCTTCCCTGCAGCATTCAGCCTGCGACACAGATATTTCCTGAGGAAGGGCAAGAAATTCAACACGCGATCTGTCTCTCCCAGATTTTGTCTCTCTTCCTCCTACTCTGACTCACTGCTACCTCTGCTGAAAGAAGAACTGAGCAACTTTAAAATGGGAGGGGAAGGCTATGAAGAAACACTGAAAGAAATGTTTGTTTTAAGCAATGTTAAACTAAAAGAGCCCAAGATTATGTGTCAGCCAGGCTTAATTTAACAAGCTTAATGTTGCTCCTTAAGAGTATGAACTAAGCTTGAACTTTGACAAACTGTCACCTTACAAATATAAACTTCAATATATTTATGTGAAAGATCAACTTGAAGTATTGGGCAATTGTGAAGAGGAAGGAAAATAATGCATCTGACATACATTTGTACTCAGTCTCCTTTGGAAGAGATGTATGGAGATCTGTAGCTGAAGTGTAAGAATCTCTTGACAACACAACTATTACCACTCCACCCCACAAATCTGGCCTTTATGGAAGAATGATAAAAAGAAATGCATTGTTGAAAGAAAGCCAAAAGACACATCGGCATTTTTTCGACACAGCAAAAATGTGGAACGAGGGGCTCTTGTTATGTGTGGCTTGAAAACAAATAAAGCACATCAGCCTGAACACACCATAGAATGTGCAGTAACCTTCCCTTTATTTTCTAGTTTGTCATAAAATAAAAATAACATTTATGGTTACTGTAGCTTACCTGAAATGTTCAGAGAAGGAGTCTGGCTGAAGATGCTCTTTAGGAAGGTTTCTAGGCAGGTTGCGGACAAAGTTAGCGTAGCATCCACCTGGTTCATACAACTTGGCATTCTCACTCAGGGCCTGGAAGTGGGTTGGGAGTGACACTGTCTGCACCTGCTGCATCTGAAACCAGTTCACTGACACCTATTAAAAAAGAAACACACAAAGACGGTCGGCATTTTACAAAATATTAATATTTTTAATCACTGCATGGGAAGCAAATTAAACTTATTGAACAGAATGGATGAACTGTTAGAAAAATTTGGGTTAATACAAATATTTGATATTTATGTTGCTGCCATGGCTGATAACCAATATGTACCAATATTTTATTTATTACATATACTTTACAAATCTTTCAACAGGAGATCATGTTGCTTGTGAAGACAATTCAAGCACTTAGCATGCTAAGGTAAGTGAATCGTCATCAGTGCTGACTGAAAATCTACGTAGAGTAGGAAGAGATTTAGTAATGTCATTAGTTGTTACTGTCACATGACCAAATAAATGCCACAAGACAAACCCCCTCACCTTCAGAAACAAATGGCAAAAAGATGGAAATAAGTATCGGTTGTTAATATTGACTTAGTTTAATTTATCTAATCGATACTGATATGTTAGTCCCAATATATTAGGCATCCCTTAACAGTCCAGCTAATTTCTCATCTGGAAAGAATGAATTGATCTCTCTTACAGCTTTGAGTGTGAGGTCACACTGGAAGATCATCTCTCGGATCTGTGTGAGGATTGTGCTCTTGGTATTGGCCAGATCCATCCGTTTGACGCCTGCGTCAGCCCTGCAGCTTTGGAAATGGTACTGGGCTTCCTCAGCCTGCTCAAAAACAATAGACAATGGTTTATGGAAGTTGCTCATCCCAAACAGGTGCCACTACAATCCCCCCGTGTTGTAACCCTTGCAAACCTTCTGCATAGCCTCTTCCTCAAGCTTTCTCTTCTTCTCCAACTGTTTGTTGCCAGTGCTAGACTGCTCCTCCTGGGAGCGGTTTGTAGACGACTGGGCTTTTCTGTACTCCTCTTTCCTCTGGTCGTTCAAAGCTCGTGCCTTACGCAAGGTTGTGTCAACCTCTTGCTGCCAAAGCCAGAAGATTTTGCCGCGTTACTTGATTTATTGTGACAATGTACGCACCAGTTACCATAGAAACAATCAGGCATGCCCTTTTCAATTTTTAGCCCAGCATGTAAAGAGGCACTGTAAGAAACTAACATTAATACATTCCGATATGAAAACAATGAAATAAACATTAGTAGAGCAAAACGTATATAAGCATAAAAGCTTGAGGAACATCACAGATTCTACAAACCAACTGCTTCTGTTCTTCTGCACAGTCGCATGGTATAATTCTAAGAATAGCTTAGCAGAGCAGTTTGCTAAAAGAAAAGTTTGCTTTTCTTTGCTTTCCTAAGTATGTTTCAAGTGTCTGTGCAGAGACTTTCAACAAACCATTTTCTTTTGCTCTCTCTGCCACTGTTCCTTAATGTCCTTCCTCAACTTGTCCAGTTCATTCTTGCGAGCCTGAAGAGGCTTGAAAGTAAACAGAGAAAACAACAGCGTGGAGTTACTGAAAGAGCATTTTATAAGAAGTTTAGTCTCTGGATAATTAGGCAGCTCAAGGGTTTCAAATAAAAACCAATTTCACTGTAAACTTAAAGCTTTCAAGCCATTTTGAGTCATCAAAATAAAAACAGAGAGAAACTAACAAATTAATTGATGTTTATGTGCTGTTACATCATTACACTGAGTATGAAAGATGATTCAAATGGATGATAGCGCTATCATAAAGATGCTTTCAAAGTTTTGTTTTGGCAACATGAATTAGCAGATTCAAATGCAAAGGCTACAGAGCAATTTTTTTAACGTAAAGATGAACATTTACCTGAATAAATTTATTGCTTTGGAGAGCCAACGCTGTCTGAACGAGCAGCTGGTTGTATTCAATCTCGTTCTTGAATGTGGAAACGTAGATGTCACTTAGAGGCATGTAGTCCTGTAGGAAACAGGGAGAAAGCAACGTTTTCATGTGTTTTTGATTCCCTCTGTTCTATAACTGTATGGGACACCAATTCAGCAATAGACCAATGCCTCGAATAAAGTCTTAAGTTTGTTACCTGCTGACTGGCGAGTGTCGTTGCAGACTCAGCCATTTTGGCATAGCTTTTGGCATACTCAATATCTGACAGAAAAGATCAGCAAAGTGTAAGGCTGCGATCAATGAACTGTACACAGCAAATATTATTTATTATATTTCTTCAGATTTTACAGGAAATCAAGAGTGCCAAGAAATTGTTCCTCTCTTGTTGAAGAGGAACAATTTAACAAACATTTTCTCGATGGAAAATTAACAATTTGAAATAAAAGTGAACTGAAGAACTGATCTTCCAAGTCTGAACTCTTCCATCAGCTCAACGTCCGAATTCAGCAGTTTAATGCAGCAGTTCATGTTTTATGCAGCGAGGCACTTTTTAACTTTTCTTCCACAAACATTTTAGGACCAACAATCATAATTTTGTTTTTCTGTTACATCCGTTGTTTATATTCATCAAAAGCAGCGTCATGCATGTCTCACCCATGGCCAGCCGTTTCTCCATACACCCCAGGAGGTCTTTAATGTACTTTGACAAGGCCTTTGCATAGAGTAGAGCGGACTCGACCCCACTCTCATTCTTCTGCAGAGCCAAGTCGACCTCTTCTTCTTTTGACAGCGACACCTCTGGGCCTGTGGAACCAGGAGAAGAAGCAGACATCACATATGTGGTGTGACTAGAATGTCCCAAAGCTGAATGTTCGTATCTCACTTCCACTTTCCAGCATATGTATGTATGTGTGTGTGTGCGCATGTGTAGGGGGGAGGTAGATTAAAAAAAAACAGAACAAAATCAGTGAAGTTCACAAGTTGGGAGGGTATGAAAGTACCAGGAACACTTCGACACAGTCTGGTAGCATTATGTTCCTTTTATGTGTCAGAATAGACAGCCCTCTCAGCCACTGGCCACACAGTATTACTCTTCAACAGGCATTGAAATGAGCAACTAGTGTGGAAAGAGCTGCAGAAATAACAGGGGCTGAAGTCGAGGTTTAAGGCGGGTCTACCTCAGGCATTCAAGACTCAGAAAACTGAATTACTCAGCTACAACTGACATTTCAGACTGCCCTGAGCTATAAAGCAATAATTACATGCTTTGTAAAAAAGCCATTAATACCCCTCACATTTCAGGTCAAAGGTGTTTCACACAAACATAGCTCAAAGATAAATAAGTGATTGCGAGGCTAACTTACCAACGAGATCCCTGCTCCCCGGAACGTAGCCCTCAGGATCCACAGAGAGGTTGTCAAAAGACTGTGAAAAAGAGGTTTGAGATTAGAAGGAAGAGGAAGTGCACACATACAATCAAAGTCACACATCAGTAGTAGCTGGGGTTTTCAACACTCCAATTAAGTCCAAAAAAAACAAGGTCTTGAGGCTTTTTAAATAGAGGCGGGGTGAAATTGCTGCCATTAGTGTGCCTTTTGAGAACTTTCATGTTTCAAAACAAAAATTAGTCTAACAAGAGGTCTGAAAGGTGGAAAATAGACAGGTGGTGTCTCACCCTGCTCCTTCTGGTCTGGGGGATCCCCAACCCTGAGCTGCTGTCCTCATCTCCCATAAGGAAGTCAGAAACTCTGCGACGCAAACATGGAAAAGATGAGAGATTGAATAGTCCATCAACCAACAAGCTCCTACCTTTTCAGATTCTATTTAACTGGGGGGGGAAAAAAAAAAAACATTGGCGTTGAACCACAGTACTCACACATTGCCAAATGTGAATGCCAAAGTGTCAATGGATGTGTGTATCTCGCTGAATATAGCCTGCTTGTTTTCTGAATTCACTTCCTTGAAGTTAATGCCTGGGGAGAGAGGTAAAAGTGAGCGAGAACTTCTACGATAAAAAAGATCTGAATCATAAAACAGCTTTCCTGACCTTCCCCATTTAAAAATGTGAGCTCTCTGTGGTTAGCTGATGAGATTTTAACACATTTAAAAAAATAACGATAAAAACACAAGTGGGGAAATTCAGACAACACAGGAAGAAATAAAACATTTTAGCCTTCTTTCACGTCAAATATTCAATTTTAATGACTAAATGTTAACTGTCAGACGTTCTGGGCTAAACTTTACAAAAGATAAAGTCAAGCCCAAAATTATTCAAATGCATGGCAGATGGTACTGTTACACTCCTTCTTACTGGAAGTGATGCTAACATTCAAGCCAGAGTCCCAGCATCACTGTGGTGGGAGCTAAAGATTAGGGTGATGGCGAGAAGGCCATCCACACTCAAAAAGTTTTAGCTCATCACAAAGACGAATCAACAAAATAAAATCACATACAAAAAGCTTCATAAGAAGCAGCAATCATAAGAATTATCTGAATGCCATAATGTAAATTATTTTCAACATTCAAAACAGTTCTCTACATCCACATTAAAAAAAAAGTCATTACAGACAGACTTTTTTGTAATACTTCTTTGTTTCATCATGTTTTACAAGATGCCAGTCTCCTCTTCTTATCAGGAACAAGCTGCTAGGTGATAAAACATCTAAAGCTAAAGCTGCCAGGGTTATAAACAATTTTGGGTTTAACAGGAATTTCTACAGAAACATTTCAGCCAATCTTTAAAGTGGCTACAACACATCGTCAGTGTGCTCCTTTACCATTTTGTATTTGTACTATTTTCATTGGTAAGTTTCTTGGGTATGAAAAGAAGCCGTCTGCCTATGAAATTATTAGTTTGATCAAACCAGTGAAGAAGCAAACGAACATGGAGCAGACGCCAGGAGAAAAGGAAGGCTCAATGCATTACAGTAAAGTTTCTCCGTTTTTCTCTTCTAAGCTTTCAGCTCCTGTTTGTTCAGGACGATGTTGGCAGGCTTTTGGATGGCTAAGAATAAAGGTAGACTTTTTCATAATCAGGGGAACAGAGACTAATGTTTACAGTTATTAAAGTTACCCATTCCAAAAGGGTGAAATGTCAATTTCCTAATCACTTTGTTTGTTTTACAGTGACTCCTCTTTGCATTTGCTTCTAACATAACTAATGACTGTTTAGGGCAGGAATGCCAGAAAACATGTTTTAATCTCTGCTTTCACAAAGAGTAATTGGAATTGGCTCAAATCTATTACTGGTTCTTCTCCAATAACCCCCATAAGCCATACTAAAGAAGTTAGCTTCTGTCAGAGCTACTAAGCATTTACATACATTCAGCAGTTTTAAAGAACATGACAAAAAAAGCATAGCATATACAAACTAAAGAAGAAGAAATGTGTGAAGTCTGTATGTCATCCTACCAATTCAAGCACCCCTTTTTAAAAAGCCCCAACGGTCGTCAAGGTGGAAAATTCAAGGAATATTCAGAAACAATCCCAAATTTCCCCTCCTTTGGTAAAAAGTGATCGAGTCCGTCGGTCCATCATACATGCTGCTCATACTCAAAAAACTGCAGCTTTTTAAAAGCTGCTGTTGACAGAGTCCCCGCCATTCACACTGACATTCTCCGTGAACTTGTGCACCAGCCTTTCTTCACACCAACCATTATGCCCAGGAAGATGACAGTTGCAGCGAGCAATCAGAGGAACCGAAGACACAGTGAGTGAAATCCAACTAAGCAGAGTACTTCCTGTCTGCCCCGCAACAGGAAACACTCGCACAGCTTGAATTCAGTGACATGTAAAAACTACAGACAGGCGTGACAGCTCTTACCTCTTCATTCCCCCACCCGGTATTGTTGTTTTGCAAATGGAACCAGAAAAATGCAGCAATTTGAATACGTAGCAGGGAACTTTCAATTTCCAGAGTGCTCTCAAGCTGTTGTTTCTCCATTTTTATCTTGATTGGAGCAAATTCAGTCCATGTCAGTAACGGACGAGTGATTAAAAATCCGAGAGGTCACGGAATCCCGGGCAAGAACGGCGCCACATTCCAGGGAGACTCTTGAGGCCACCAGAAGAGAGGAGGCGCGGTGCGAGCCTCCCTGTTGTGCACCTCCCCGTCTCTGAATGCTAACACACAGCTCTGCACTGGCTTCTTCCTCAGGACATCCTGTGGGTCTCTAACAATGATTCCAGACCTCTGCCTCCCTTGTCACAGCTGAAATTTGGAAACTGCATCATTCAAATATACAGCCTATTGTTTTGTTGTTTTTTTTTTCATGATTGACTGTAAACTAGGACATGAGCATTAATAAGATTACTCAAATTCTTGGATATACCCAACTTTATCGCTGACCTGTCTGCGTTGTATTTTGGTCGCCATGATGCCGTTTGTTCACACAGTTGCTCTGCATTTTATTACGGACGTCAAAGTTAGGTGGAGTTAGTACAAAAGCACGTGCAACACTCTTAGACTTTTATTTTGGGAAATAGATTTAAAAATACTAATTATACCACAACTTTACTATTATTTATCTTGAATTGTTCAATAACATAAAACCCCAACGAAAATATACTTAAGTCTGTTTGTAATGTTACAAAATGCTGAAAAAGTAAGAGGCATCAATAAGCCTGTCGTAATAAGCAATTAATCGCATAATAAATCAAAATGAGCTTGATCATGTCCATTTTGATGATCAATATTTTTAGAAGAGCAATTTTACAGAGACATCGTGCGTGTGGTTTTTATTTCTTTATTGTTTTATTTTGGGGTTTTTTATCATGCTTTATTTTGGATATTTAGAATATCTTTCTGCTCCAGTGTTAAGAGTTCTTTACAAAAATAAAGCTTATTGGTCTTTGAGAGGGCGAACTTGCATTTATATACATTATCCATATAGTACTTCTGTGAAAATGGTCTCAAAAAAAAAAAAAAACATCACAACAATTTCTGGGACAATTTATCATCCAGCAAAATTTGCTGGGTATAAATATTTTCGCTGCGTCTTCTTTTTGCAATATGTTAACCACTTCTAAGACTGTGAGCTAACAAAGACTTAAATGTATAAAATAATTACTGTTATTCTTAAAGAAGCTAGGATTAATCTAGAATACACTGCACATGAAAAACACCAGGAAAAAAAACAATCAGCTCTGCACATGTTTTTTAGTTGACAGGAGAATAAAAAAACTAAGGAAGAAAGGAAGTTCAAGCTTTTATTGGAATGTCCTGGACTTTTTCCTGATATGCACCCGGTGAGACAAAAAAGCAACACAGCAGCTTCTATCTGGAGTAAAAACTGCGCCAGTCCACTGTTAATTACAATCGCATTGTTCCTGAGTTATCACAGTCTGCATAAAGTGTTAAATAAAAAATAAATAAATACAAGGAAAACAGCTGGAGTGGACACTATTTCATCTGAAACTAGTTAGACAACCATGTGTGTGGAGAAGGAGGAGCCACCATGGCAGGTGTCATGTGCAGGCTTCAAAGAGCAACACAGGTGAGAAGACGACACGCTGAACACAGAGAGGGGCACAAGGCCTGTTATCTAAACCATGGAGTCTTCCTCTGTCATGTCTCACTGATTCGTCTGTCTTTTGAATGCTCCTTCACCGGCTCTTTGTCGCTGTCAGTTTGGTCATGCTTTTATGTGTTATGCTTGGCTATGAGGGCTGTCCATTTGAGGAGTCAGTTAATGCAAGGCACCCCCTTGTGGACAGTTAGACTCGAAAGGAGCAAGAAAACTGAAGCAAACAGCAGCACACACCATAGCTTTCTGTGATGTATACATTATTTTTTTTGTCAACATGGTTCACGTATATTTTTATCCAGTTTTAGGGAACAGAAAATATTTTGACAACATTTAGTTTAATGTCTTTTAGTTTATGTAATAAAAGTGTAATAAAATAAAGATGTGTTCTCATTTTAAAAAAAGAATAAGACGTAATGTTAAAAAAAGAACTTGAGACAATTATTTCTGTGTACTTTTTAAGTAAGTTAGTCAACGATCTTTAGCCTTATTGGAAATCTTTTGTTTTCTTTTTGCATTCTGAAAACTGTCAACACTTATCTGAAAAGGCAAGAGAATGCAGACGAGCATTCTTGAGGACTAAGTCACACTTCACAGACAGGACAGGTGACCAGACAGTGAAATACCTCACAGCTTAGCAAAAGCGAAGAAAAGACAGAAAATGGACAGGCCCTGAAAAGAGGCCTCTGGAGATGTTGAAATAAGGAATGAAAATTACAGCCTTGCTGCCTCCGCTGATCCCGAGTGCAAGTCTGGGGAGGAATTTGTCTGTTGGTCACATCTCCAGCAGATGAGCAGACTTTTTGAGTTCATTGACAAGAAATGGGGACGCATCTGCTGCTTCAGGAATCCAAAGTCTATTGTTGCCATTTTCCCAGTGCCATATCTGCAGCACATCTTTAACAAACACAAGGAAACCAATCCTTGTCTGAACTGTTGCCCTTCGGTGAACCCTCACTTTGAATGACTGATCAAGCGATATGTTTCATGCTAAGATCACCAGATAACATTAGAATTGGGCTTGGTGCATTGGCATGTCCATCTGCCAGAGGAAAAAATAAATAAATTAGTCACCTTTGACTTTTGCAATGACAGTGCCAGCAGCTCCGAGGATGTCTGCCGAGTTCAGGGTCCGGTGTTTGCCGATGACGGTCTTGAGAACACGGAGCAGCTCTGCCAAGCGCTCCTGCACCAACTCCGGAAGACCCTCCAGGTTGTCTGGGGCCAACAGAAATAGAAAAATAAACCAAGTTGCACAATTCTGGGATTGAATCACGGTAATCAAAATTCTGAACTAATGTCACACAGTAAAGTCACAAACATGCCAGGGTTTAATTAATTTTCCAAAGCCAAATGCTATATTTCACAATCACTTAGTCATTTGGCAACCTTGATGCCTTATCGTCAAATTCTTCTCCGGGTAAAAGATACAGTACATGCTCTGCTGTTATTTATCTGAGCCTCAAGCAACAAAAATGGAAGGAGATCGTTGTGGTTAGGAGACAAACACAGATGTATGCAAGTGCTGGTGATGTCACATGTTTTTTTTTTCCCCTTGACACCATTTACAACGGAAATATTGTATTGTTTGCAGGTAGAGCTGTGTCAGCTATGGTTAGGAAATTCATGAACTTGAAAGGAGAGCATTTGAAAAAAAAGTGATATGATGCTTTTCTGCACTATTTGCATCAGACAGCTCAAACTCATCGTAAACTTGGTTGTAAACTGACACATGTGGTAGCAATTAAACAGTTCCATGTGTCTATTTGAAGATAAAAAAGAAGTAGAAACAAGTGAAAAAGCTGCACGCCAAGTAGAAGATCTTGCAAGATTTCTTTAGCGCCAGTGAGGTTACACAAGATGACAGCGGAGAAGAAGAATGTATAAAATGTGTCTAGATTAGGCCTCTCTCCACTTTTTCAACCATATCGCATTCTGTCAGTCCCTCTGCTATGAAAGGCATCTGTTTCTTGCGGAACCAAATGCAGCAGCGAGAAGGAAAACCCCCGTTTAAAGGAGAACTTGTGTAACTATCCTGGCTCTCTACATGGTGCTTATTCTCTACATGACAATAAAGCTTTCAGAGCAAAATAAAAGCCGAGATGAGTAATGCAAGAAACACCAAAAAAAAAAAAAGCAGATGCGAAAAGCAAGGCAAAAATGTAAAATGTTTGATTAAGCTTCATCAGCAGAGGCGGTGTAGAAGCTGGCACCAGACATTAGGTGAGTTCATGTCTAACTTACTGCTTTGGAATAAGCGGGGGCAGAAAAGTCATCTGTTCTTTGTCAAGGCTACCCAAGCGAGCAGCAGGGTGAGACGAGAGGCAGAATTTATGGGAGTGCTAAAAGGATTTGCCGAGGGAGTTACAAGGCGAAGGTTTGGTGTGTGTGTGTGTGTTACCCTTTCTGCTCCTTTTCCTTACATACACACTAATTCAGCATTCTGGCGTAAAACATACATAATTTCCAGCAAAGACATAAAACTAGCACAATGCGATTACTTTTGTAGAAAAGACCAATAATATGAAAACAATAATAAATGCAGATTTAGAAAGACCCAACCTTCCTGGGTAGTTATAAAGGAAAATGTCTTTTAAATTGTGTTTCACTCCTTCTTTGTCCTCAGATGAGAGCGAGTGACACCTCAGCACCGTCTTTGAAGTTTGCTTCCCTATAGACACGGATAATGGATGTTCAATAAATGTCCTCCCATTCCTTTCAACCCCCTCCCCTCCAGCCGTGATCAACAAGGCTTTAGTGCTTAGCTCTCAGGCTTTTGAGGATTCTCCTATCAAAGATTTGTGTGGGTTAGTGATTAGCATATAAGAGCCAGTGCTAATCAAATGCACACCTGAGAGTTAGCACTTAGCATGAAACCAGAGGGGCATGACTGACTGTGCTGCTGTGGGATTACAGAAGTGATGGCTATTTGGATCACTCATTTCCTTTTTTACGAACAGGAATTTAATTAGATGAATCTACCTTCCTTTGTTTACAGTCACCCACTGTCAAACGCAGCAGAACACAGAGCAGATAACCGCTGTGATGAAACAAATAAACAGCAGCCAAACCTTAGAGTGAAAGGTAAACCCACCAATACTGACCTTCTGCAAACAAAGACCAGGCATGTGCCAATTAGAGTAAAGCCTCAAACATCTATTAAAGTAACAACATGCACCAGGCGTCAGGGAACTAATAAGCCCCAACTCCTTCCGTATTTTAGAAAATAATTAAATGTGAAATTTTTATAAAACAGCAACGACGAGCTTCATTACCTAAAACGGTAATGAAGCTTTCCAGACATGCAGGCTCACACATCGTCATACATGTGCGAGTCGAGTTGTCTGTGTTTTCCACACGAAGGCTGTGGTCAGTGGTTCTGCTACAACATGTCATCAAGAGGTGCAGTAGAAATTTTACAGGTTTAGTGTGGGAGGTGGTCCATTGTTCCAGCAGCGATAACAGAGCTGAGGCGTATTGTTTAAAGGAAGACCCCCTGCCAAAGCCAGCGCAGCCCAAATCTGCCTGCTGCTTTTGGAGCAGCAGGCACATCAGTTGCAGCCACGTTTCATGATGCATCTTAACCATTAATTTGCTACAAGAACAAGATGTTCTTTACTCACCGTTTTATATGTTTACTTAACTAAATGAGAAAGTATTAACATCAAATGATTTTTTTTACAAAATTTACAGTGCCTTGAAGAAGTATTAATGCCCCTTTTTAACTTTTCCACATTTTGTCATGGTACAACAACAATCTTCAATGAATTTTATGGAGTTTTTATTAGGGTTGTCATAGTTAACGTTTTAATTGCGCGCTTACTGAAATTCCTGGTAAACTGTTATTTTGGTAAAGTGTGATTAACGCACAGGGTTCTGTACTTTTTGGATCTCGCCTCGTTTGAAGATTATTTTATTTCAGCCGTTTCTTTATGGGACTGATCTCCCGTTTATTAAAAACGTCATCTCTAAAAACAGCTCCACTCTTTTTCCGCCTCTCCTCCTAATCGATGCTGTCTGACAATGCCACTCTCAGCCAACAGGCAGAGAAACAGGAACAACCTTGGACTTATTTTATTGTTGTAGACAAAAACATGTAGTTCAACATTTTTTTTTTTTTACTACAAGCTGTTATTCACTACTGAAGCTAACATGCATAAACAATGAACAGGTACATCTGTCCGGATTCAAAAAGTGTTTTACTTTGAGCAGCAAAGTCATAGTCTGTTAATCTAAAATAAAATGTAACTTAATGTAAAGAAATCTGCAGAATTTTAGGATTTTTGGCTTTAATAAGCTCCTCAAAGTGAATCTTCCTCATGAAAACCACACTTTTCATTACTACATGATCAGTTGCCTCTAAAGTCAAGCCTTTGTATTGTTTCAGGGGTTTGCATTTAACAAAGACAGCATGTGGAAAGAGTACAAAAACAGTTCTTAGAATGATATGCAAATATTAACTAGCTGTCAGCTATTAGAGCTCAGCTTAAATTTTATGGTTAAAAAACCTCGTTAAGTCACTATTTTTACGTTTTTACCCAGTGTATGTAAATTAATGACATCCAAATTGCTCCTAACAGTTGGGCTGTCAATTTTTTCCACTAATTGAGGAAAAAACTTATTTTACTCTCTGAGAAAAAGGCTCTAGACAAAAACAATTAGACACAGATTAAGGTGGAAGCGGTATTTATGATCTGTCTGGAACCCTTTGAACACAAGAAGATTTATTGGCAGGCCTTAAAACTTTAGAACTTTCCTGACCATGCAAATCAGAACACTAGATCACAACAAAGTGCTTCAAGATCAACAGAAACTTCTCAAACAAGTCATCCAGAACAATCATCTCCGTTGCTACCAATTTGTATCCCCAGTGTGGTGACACACTCTAACATGTCACGACAAGTTACTGCAAAAACACACATCTTACTTCTGACTTAAATGAAATACCATGCAGCATCTCAACCATGTTCCTTTTAAATTATTATTGCCTCTTAAATTACTGTGCGTGGGAGTCCCATTGTGTCCGACGCAGCTCCCTTTGAGTCTGGTGCAGAGAAGAACCAATCTAATCCAAATCTCCAGGCGGCCTAACAGAGGTTACAGCCTCTGCTCGCCCCCACTGATAACAGCAGGCAATCAACTGGCCAGCCTGGACACGCGATCTGCTCCACATGAAACAAGCCTTGGCAGCTCTACTGACACGGTGCCGCTTGGGAAACAGCCCCAGGGCTTTACTGAAAGACCAAGGAGGCATTTGTCTTCCCCCTCCTCCTCTTCCATTTCAGACGGCGTAGGGGTGACACATTGACACCTGAACCACCAGATGATTTCATTTTCTTTCTTTTTTTTCAGATGCATTTCTGTGTACCACATTCCAAACTAGTGACGCACAACTTGCTGTTATCAGTCAACTCATTGCAGCATCATAATGCCCCCTCTAAATGGAAACGATCACTTTCTTTCCATTGCATCAATAAACTACAAAAAAGGTAAACTGGATGGCCACGAGCCTCTTCCCTCACAAACAACACACACGAGAGAGGATTGACGCCACAGATGCGTCTTGCATTTCTGGGCTGCCGGCTACAGGTGGAATTGTTTGGTAAGGATTCCATCTCCCAGCACTAATTTTCCCCTCTGTCCAAACAAACGCTGCATTGCCGGGTGGTTCTCAATCGATCCCATACCTTGTTAGGAGAGAGAGAGAGAGAGAGCTATAGCATCACACAGGCTGTAAACACCAATCTGAACAGCAACTTGCTTCTAACTATGACTCTGTGTGAGGTCTGTGCTTCAAGGTTAGTCACAAGTTTTAAGGGCTTCTAGACAGGAATAATAATAAAATACCCTCAGAAGTGGGGGGGTATGTTTGGTCATCCGTATTTCAATTAAGACATTTTTACTGCAAACGTCAATTTACAGTCCTGTTGCAAGAATGAGGCTTGTTTGTCAGAATGAAAGTACCAATCTTTAAGAAGGTATTAAACTTTTCATTAAGTCCACGTTTCTGTATTAAACATGTGTTTTTATTGGTCTGACTTCATATTCTAAATCAAATGTCATGTTTTACTACCTGTAAAAATATTATCTTAATAATTAAAATGAAAATCAGTGTTATTAATCCATGTTATGTGAACTGAGTTACTTAATTGAATTAACATTTTAATAATATTTTAATTGATCAAATATGTCTGTGCAAGATCTCCTGGTGAAACAAC